TATGTATGTGTGTTTTCTTTCGCATATGTTGACCAGCATTAGGGATTTGCTTTTTTTTTATTTCTTTTCTTTTGTTGAGTATCTCGTATATCAACGCCACAGCCGTTAGGTGGGTGAATGCAAAAGTTTACCGCTGTGAAGCTAACAAATCAAAGCTCAAATTGATGTATGTATGTGTGTTAACATCTGAGTTTAGTTGATAAAAAAAAAAACGCTCAATGAAAGCATTGATTTGCGCTTTGGAGTGAAATATGAAACTTTTATGTCAAGTACAGCTGCTGTGGCAACAACCAACTGCAACAATTCTACGAAAAGAGACCTCATCGACAAGGGCGAGAAGTGTCTATTTTATCGTTAACATTTGCACAACTAATCACAAGGGCAAATACAAAGCAAAAATTTTAAATTAGAAAAATAGCTCTGACTCACTCAGACTTGTGTGTTTTTGTTTGATTCAGAAATATTTTATTTCCATAATGAATTTCGAAATTCATGATAGCAGCCACCAGAAAGTCAAATATATATATATATATATATAATATGAATCGAATTTTTCATATAACATTTCCAACACATTTATCAAACTTATATTTTGAATTATATATATTACCAAATAAATCTTACACATTAAACATTTTGAAACTCCATTCTACTAAGAGCTTAAATGAAAAAATGGTTTCCAAATTCTTTTTATTTTTTAATAGGTGGCAACTCTAAAAAAATTTCTTCAATATTTAAAAAGTTCTTTTAATCTACTATTTTCGTTATAACATATTTTTTTTCCATCGCAGTTTTTTTAGTTTTAATTTTGATTAAGTGGCAACTCTTTTAATAGATAAATTTTGGCAATTTTTGTTGGAGTAATTTTTTTTTAACAAGACTAATATTTTCGAGAAAAGATTTATTTTGTTCCATAAATCATATGGCAGCTCTAAAAATATGCCATAACCGAAGGACTTCAAAAACAACACTGGGCTAAGATCTAGCATAACTCTAGGCTCTAATGAGTGAATTTTAACAGAGAAAACAAATTTTAAATTAAAAAAAATTTGTACCTTACCCGAAACCCAATAATAGCAAAAATTACGAGACATTTATTTTTTATTTCCAAGCCTCAAAGCCTAATGAAGCCTTCAGCAACAACTCCCACTTATTTAATCACACTTTTTCAAATGCAATTATTTATGAAAGTAATACAATTATTTATATACTTTTAAGAATGCAGAAACGTGGCAACCACTGCAAAAGTGGCAAATAGGAAAATGTACAAGCACAAATTAATCTTAAATACATCTTTTGCTTTTAATTGCAACTTAATTGCAAAAACAGTTAATTTTATTTTGATATATAACTTTTATTACGTATAAATATAAGTGGCAACTCTTTCAAAAAATATGTTTAAAATCAATTCTTCAGAAAATACTCCCATTCAATATTTAAGTGGTCATAAAATGCAGTTGTGTGAAAAAAAATTTACATTATTTAATTTTGGAGAAATATGGCAACACTAAGCTAAAATACATCCCTGCAGAAAAATTAAGATTCCACAAAATCAAGAAGTATGAAGCAGTTTATTAAAAAGAAATATTAAAAAAAAGAAAGATGGTAACCCTACACAAAATTTTAATTAAATAATAGCTTCTTTGAACATTTTTAATATAACTTTTTTAAATTTCCAATTATTAAAAAAAAATTTTAAAAAAGTAATCGTACTCAAATTTCTCCTTTTTTAATACAACTTTACCATTGTATTCGTCAACAATATTTTTAGAATTTTTCGTACAACTCACGTTATTGTTATTATTATCGTCATGCAAAGTTTACTGCATTCCATTTAGTGTGACGTGTGTCAGCATTGGCTTGGCACACTTCCACGACTGACGCTCGCGAAAAGGAGGCAACAAACACAGACACATAAAACGAATATAAAATGCAGACTTACACACATATGCAATTTGAAATATTACAAAATATTGCATTTAGTTAATGAGTAGTTCAATGCGGTTACTTTGTGATCTTTTGCCGCAGTACGAAAATAGACAAAATGTAAAATTATTTCATCTGTCATTGCAGCGCAACACTTTGGAAAATGAAATTCAAATAAGTTTTCTGTGCAGTTGCTTGTTTGTGCGGTAGGCTTTCATATCTACATCTTTGATTTCTTCTGGATTTTTTTCGTATTTTTTTCTTGTTTTGGCAACTTTGGCCTACTTCTGACCTTTCACATTTTGCCCACTCAAAACAGTCAGATAATATTTTGCTTCGGTTTTGCTTTGTGGTTTACAAATAATGACCGACCGCAGTTTGCAAATTTTTTTTATCTTTTATAATTATACGAGAGAAGTAAATAAATATATTTCAGTAAATTTAAGCAAAGACAAATCTTTCTTATTAATTTGGTAGAATCATTCCAGGAAAGTGGACTGTGTTTCAAATGAGTCTTCATATTTTTCAAAACTTCCAAAATATTTTAGAAGTTCTTAAAGATTTACAAAATTATTTCACTTTCTTGTGGACTATTTGAAAACATTAATAAGTTCAAGCAAACGTTTTCTTTTAGATCGTACTCTAGTAAGCCTTTCTGAATGTTTAATAATCAAAAACTTATAAAATCCCATTAATGGAATGGAAGAAAATTTATAAATTTTTAATTTAAAAAAATATTAAAAAAGATTAAATTATTCAATTTAAAAAACTAAGAACACCAGTCAAATTGAAGAAGCAGATATTTGCAAAAAAGCAACCACGGTATTCTGCTGAAAACTTTAGTACAAAAATTTAGTAAATCTTTGAATGCAAATTTCCAGTTTAAAAGAAAAAAAGCGCTTTCCTTGAAAAGCTGTTTGACGATTTTTATAATCATTTTCATTTTGTCCTACCTTACTCTATTTAACTTTCATTTTTTATATATTTTACATATATTTTGTATTATTATTTTTTTTTAATTTAATATTATATGATATTTTACTTTATTTTATTTTATTTCTATTTTTACTTATTTATTTTATTATTATTTTATTTCGTTTTAGTTAATTTAACTTTATTAAATTTTTATTTTTTATATATGTTAGATGTATATTTACATTTATATTTTTATTTTTTAATTTATATTATTACATTTTAATTTATTTTATTTTATTTTAATTTAAATTTCCTTATTTTTTTATTTTATTTTATTTCATTGCAATTAACTTAATTAATAAAACTTTACTTCCAATCATTTTGTTTTTTTATTTTTTATAAATTTTACTTTAAATTATTTAATTTTCTCATTTCATGTTATTTTGTTTTATTTTATTTAATTGTATTTTATTTAAATTTATTGAATTTAGTTCTATTTTATTTTATTAAATTTGATTTTACTTCACTTTATTTTATTTTTTTTTATTTTAATTTAATTTATTTTATTCTATTTTTTGATTTTATTTCATTTTTATTAAGTAAAATAGTTTTACTTTATTACATTTCATTTTTTTCATTATGTCTTATTTAATTTAACTTTTTATTTTTTACGCTATTTTCTTTTAGTTTATTTTATTTCAATGTATTTAATTTAAATTTATTTTATTCAATTTAATTTAATTTCATTGAATTTATTTATTTTATACAAAGCTCTGCAGAGCTCGTGACAACACTATACATAATTTGAAAGGTCTTGACATAACCTACAAAACAACGCTATGCATGATTAGTTTGGATATTGCGTGCAACAGTTATAGACGTGTAAGCACAGAGTTCACTAACGCCGAAATTCGCGCTATTTTAAAGTTTTCCTTCGTTAAAGGCAAATCCGCTAGAGAAACGTTCCGTGAGATTAATGGTGTTTTGGGGGATGGTACTCTACCACTTCGAACCGCGGAGGAATGGTTTCGACGATTCAGAGCCGGTGAAAACGACACCATGGATAAGCCAGCNTTTTTTTTTTTTTTTTTTTTTTTTTTTTTTTTTTTTTTTTTTGTTTGGTTTGATTTTATTTATTTTTTATGATTCTAAACTGAAACTTAGCTTTGAACACGTTGTTTGAAGAGTTCCTAGTAATCATGTTGGAAAAAAAATAATAATTTTTTCTCTTAAGCTAGGCAAAAAGCCACATTTGAATCGAATTCCAAGTAAACGGACACCTAAGGTCTAATTTTTCAAATAAGTCTACTTCATAATCATCAATCGGCCAATAACTTTTGGAGTTTACTGTAACTTTATAGACGAATATAATTTTTTTATTTTCGTCCATTAATAGACGTTTTTAGATGTATGCGTACAGGTCTCAGAAAAGTGGAGGTGACTCTGAAATTTCAAATTTATACTTGTCATACTTCCCTGCTACGTGGAAAGTCAACAACTAATCACTCGTCTCTATTCTAAGTCAATGGGTGTTCAGTTTATTGTTCAGCTAATCAGAGATTTCAGCGGTCTTTTTTAGTTTAACTGCTGACAACCTTTTGAGGATTCTTAGAGCAAACATCAGGCTAAAGTTACTCACAACTACAAACTTTCAATGTATGATTTTCGACCAATTAACTCTATAATTGTCTCTTCTACTCGGCACTCGTGCTCTGACAAAAAAAAAACACGACTAAGGTCAAAAGATATTTATATCTAGTTGAACATAATATGATATAATCTGGAATCTATCGGCGAACTTGTCGTTTTTGTCAGTAGTACTGTATTTAGTGGGATTAACTGACTTATTTATTAGATTAACCTCTTATTAATAAATTAAATCTTAAAATAAAAAACCAAGAAAATATATATGAATATAAAATTGTTGATGGAAAATTTCGCGTCGATATAAATTCTCGCATTAAAAAAAAAAAACAAATACCTGACTTAACTCTAATAAACGACATTTGCGTATTTCAAGTCTAACTTACAGCTGTTTAAGTTAATTTGCTATAAATAAGTAGATATGTATAATGATTTATTTAGTAGTAAATCATGTTTATATACCATACAATTTTCGTGTACCCCAAATGTTAAAAAATAACTTTTGCTGTACTCACCTATCGGCTGGTGCTGAACCGGAAGCCGGCTTTAGGCTTCTAAATGCTTTCAGCCACTTTGTTTTCATCGATGGCGCGGTCGCGGCTGAAAGTTTACGCTCGGCGCGTGGCGAACCCGGATCAACTTTACTCACGTATAGATCTTTCTGTAAATAGAATAAGAGGGAAAATATATAATAAGCAATAATTTTAATGTAATGTACTTAAAGACTGACCAATAAGATAGGAAAATAAAATAAATTAAATAAATTAAAACAAAATAAAACAAGAGAAGGTAAAATAAAATACTTTAAAAAAACGTATTTTATAAAAATAAAAATGATAAAATTAAATTGTGGATGGAGGAGAATGTTTGATATGTATTCGAATTGAGCACTGGCTCGTTTCAAAATTTGGCTTTTAACACAATGTCATATGAGGCACAGATGAAAATCGCATGGAAAGACGCAAGACAGATCATAAAGCCAGTTATCTAATCTGGACCACAGATAGTAAATTCCATTGCAAATAATGAGCACCCTAGCCAGTGATACGGCTGATCATTTGAGAATATTCATATATGTATGTATATATTAATTTGAGTTTTTTTGCTTTCTAGCATATACATATGAATGTTTTTACATATATATTTATACATGCATATATATATGTACATTCATACATATATGTTAGAAAGGCAAAACTCAAAATCAAAGAACCAAATAGCCAGCGCCTTAAGATATGCAAGGATTTACGCTTTGCGTGTAAGCACTAATAAAACAAATAAAACTAAATAAAGTATATTGAAATAAAATAAAATGTATTAAACTAAAAGGAAATAAAATTACGTAAAATTAAACAAAATAAAAAAAAAACAAAAATAAATAAAATGATTCAAAAATAAAGAAATAAAATAAAAGTAAATAAAATAAATTAACTTATCGAAATAATATAAAATTAAATATATTAAAATAAAAAAATAAAATTAAATAAAATAAAATACACTAAAATAAAATAAAATTAACTATAATAATTAAAAATATAAAGTTCAATGACGCTATAAAGGACTTAAATCATTTCAGTTCAGCACGTAATGGGGATATTGTAAAATCCGAATTAAAAATACGTAAGTATGCAACATATTATATAATGTAGCGATTTAATATATTTTATTTTGCATATACATATGTGCTTTCTGCTATTATTTTCCTGCTAGGCTTCAGCGCTTCCTTATTTTGCTTTTTATCGCCGAGCCTGAGTGAGCCGAACACCCAACTTCCGTCAATCTTAACACCGTTATATAATAAAAATAAATATTTAACGAAGCCCATGCCTTGATTTTACCTACGCATTACTCATGCAATAAACATTTCACGTTAAAATTATGCCCGGATATATTTACATGTACAAAGCAATACCGTAATAAAATAGCCAATCGGAATTAAATAATTGCCTTAACATATATACATAGGTAGACAACTGAGCACACGAGCTGGCCTATTAATAAATACAAGAGCAATTGCTTCAACCGCTGAAAAATTCTTGAAATTCATTATTTTACATTGCATTAAGGGAAAGTAGCGAAATAAATTAAAAAATAAAAATAAAAATTTAAGCGGCAAATACATTTTGTGAAATCAGTGATATGCTCAAGTTTCCACATACTGACATACTTGTGCTTATATGCCTATAAAATTAAGTACACTTACATATGTAAGCGCACATATTTATACGTATACAATAATATTATACTCGTACATACACGCACGATGGCATGAAAACGGCCAAGCTCATTTCTCATAATACATCATTACAACTTTTAATATCCTGTCGCGCTGCTGATATGCTGACTGAGTGCAGTGAGTGAGAAATATATGAGCGAATATAATATTTTTAAAGGAAAATGAAATTATAATATATGTACATACATACATATATATGTGGGAGTATGCCAAGTGTAAAATGCAGATTGTAGCAAATGATGCACCACTAATATATTTCAGTGTGTGTGTGCGTGTGTTTTTCTGTGTATTTGTATATATTTAACAATCTTGTCAGTTACCTGAAAATCTACTAGGTCGCTACCGCGCACAAGCACACAAACCAATCACGACTGTGACAGTATAATTGACAGCAGACAGACAGTAGTGAATGGTGAATGAATATGTACGAAAGAGGCAAACTGTCAGAATTGCGAATATTTAAAGAAGAAATTAACGATGAAATATATATTTCGGTGTGTAAAAAATTTATATACATACATAAATATAAATAGTAGATGAGCTGATTAATATTTAATTTTTGTATATGCAATTACATGAGGAGGCAGCGGTAGCTGAATGGTTAGTATTGCTTACTGACATTCGGAAGTCTCGGGTTCATATCCTGGTGCCACCAACATCCAAAAGTTATAGAAAATTAATTTAAATAAAAAATTAAGTGAGATTTTCTAATTTTCTAATTGCGGTCGCTCCTCGGCAGGTAAATGCCCACCCCTCCGAGTGTATTTCGGGCACTTAATAAAGGGTCCTTGTAAAAAAAACCCTCAGCCGTTCGGAGGCGGCTTAGTATAAACTGTAGGTCCCTTCATTTGTTGGAAAAACATCAAGTCGCTAAACCACAAATGGGAGGAGGAGCAAAATCGCTAAAGCGGTTGCAAAGCGCCAACTATTGTATATTATATATATAAGTATATTAGAGTATATTTCACTCCATTTAGTAAAGAAAATCTTAAAACAAATGGAATTTATAATTTTATTAAATTTTGTAAAGTATAAAGAAATTATTTGAAAGATTTTTTTCTATAAAAGTTTTCACTCAGATTTTGTCTGAAAAGCTCAGCAAATTCCCGAGGAGGAGAATATCGAAGATATTTTATTCATAAATTTTTTATTGACATGAAAATATTTGTTAATGTGGAGAAACATTTTGTTTGTTAAAATATAATTTTTTTTTTGCTTAGCAACAGATAACTCTTTTTAATATTTATTTTTCTTGGACTTTTTGTAGCAATTTGAGTCTATTAAATTATTGATCAGTAGAATTTTTTATTGGCAACAATTTATCGTCCATTTACGTTGAGCAATAATTCATGCCAAAAATAAAATTTTTATATTGTGAAAATTTAGCAGTTTGTTAAAATTGTCTATCTCATTTCAGTTTTTTGTTTCGGATAATTTTATTTCTTGCAAAACTTTTGGCTACGGATTTCTCTGTTTAGCAACAATTTTTTTGATTTTGTTTAGGAATAAGTTAACTCATGCGGAGCTGTTTGTGATGCCATAGTTGACATACGAACAAGAAAAATTCCTTAAATCTTAACATACCGTACAGCACAACAACACCATATTTTGGAAGTGCAACAATTTTTGTTGTTAGAAAAAAATTTATTGGAATCAGCAACATTTTAGTGGCAATATATTTTGCCTTGAAGTGGACAAAATATTGTTCTTTTCTTCTTTTTTTGTGGGCAACATTTTTCCCTGCGATATTTTTTTTGGAATTTTTTCTGCTACATATTAATTGAAAAAAAAAAACAAAAAACTTCCGCAAATAATTTGATTGAACATACATTTTTTCCGCCACATTTTGACTGGTAACTTTTTTTCTTTGGTACATATTATAACTTTTTTCGTCATTATTTTTTTATATAAGTTTTTTTTTTTGGCAACATTGTAAATTGGCAACATATCTTTGGGCAAATATTTTTAATTTGACAAAATTTAGCTTGTATATAATTTATACATATTAAAGTTTTGCTTGACAACATTTTGCCAACCAAGTTTTCGTTGAGCTGCAATATTTTCGGACCCACTTTTTTTGACCAAAACTTTTGTCTGATCAAAATTTTTTACCAAAATTTTTTTTTGACCAAAATTTTTTTCCTCATATTTTTTTGACCAAAATTTCTTTGGCCAAAACTTTTTTACCAAAATTTTTTTTTGACCAAAACTTTTTTTTGAACAAATTTATATGATCAAAATTTTTTTCCTCATATTTTTTTTTGACCAAAATTTCTTTGGCCAAAATTTTTTTCACTAATGTTTTTTTCAGAAAAATCTTTTTTTAACCAAAAATTTTGTTGATGAAATTTTTAATTGGTATTGTCATTTGTAAAAATTAATATATGGCAAAATTTTTTTAATATGATTTTCAGCAAAATTTGTTCTCGTTTTGTCTGCCAGCTTTCTTTTAAAATTTGTATTTGTCTCTGCCTTGACGAAATCTATAGAGTAACCTATTTTTTTGGCAACATTTATATATCTAAAGATTTTGTAAAACGTTTTTCCTTGCTAGATTATTCAGGCAAAACTTTTTAAGGCAAAATTTTTATTTCATGAAAATTAATAATATTTGCCGACAATCCGTTGGACAAATTTATTAATTTTTTCTGGAAATAAAATATAATAATTACAATCAAATTTCTCTATGAACATTTAAAGTATAAAAAAGATTGGATCGGATTAAAAAAAGTTGACTCTGCTTTGTTGTTTTTTTTTATTTTGTTATAATTTTTTTTTTTTTAATAAGTCATATACTTATATGCACATTGTTATACTTCCGAATGAAAGCCGCTTTGTTGTTCTATATGCGCTTAAATGTAACTAAAATATACCCATTCACTTGAAATCTCACTGAAATTCTCAAAAAATTTACCAAAATCCAGAGAACTGCCAAACAGATGCCAACTAACAAGCATAAACAAATTCAATACATTTCCAAGCGAATGCATTCGATTGTCTATTCGTGTAGGAAATTTCATCACATCTAACATTATATACAAATATTTAGGTATTACCAAACCATATCGCAACCATGGAACCGCATACAACAACACATAGCAGACCCAACACCTCCACACTGGAACGTCACACGCCCGAGATGTAGTTGCCATTCGCTCTGTTTTGCCCGCCGCCGCTTACGAGCAGCAGCAGCGAGTAATACCACAGTGAACATTTTTGCGCACGGAAATTGAAAAGGTGGTCAAGTGAAAATAATTTGGTTACATTACGAATTCAATCAACTGCAAATGTGGCAATCAACGATGTTAGTACATTTATACATATAAACTTTGTCCAAATGTGTTTGTGTGTGTGTGTCTATGTCTTTGCGGCATTTATTCATACTGATACTGTCCCAGCAAGCTAATATAATTTACTATATATAT